CGGCGGCCCTGTGTGCGCGAGGGCATCGGCCTCGGCGTCGTCCCCGCGCTGCTCCCCGGCCGTCCTGGCGCGCGGGTCGGTCAGGAGCAGAGGACGGGCTGGGCCGTGCACGCGCGCCGCGGGCCCCGCAGGTCGCCGGGCCCTCCGCTGTCGGCGTTTCCGTTCTCAACACTTGTCTCAGGATGGGGGGTGGTGAAGAGCACACCGGGGATGCGGGGAAACGCGGGGGGTCGGGCAGGCGCCCCTGGAGGCTCGGGACTATTCGCAGCGCGCACCCGGTCGGAGTGGGGTGCTGCCCCACCGCTCCTCCGCCCGGCCTTGCCCTGCGGGTGTCGGGGACCCACCTCTGGGAAACAGGGAGCAGCACCGCTTTATAAGGTGGCTGCAGGACGCAGGGGCGCGTGCTCTGAAGCGCTTGGACCTCCGCGTGGCTCCCAGGAAGTACCCCAGGTCCTTGGCTACAGTAATAAGCGGTGGCGTTTCCAGCACACTTTGACAGCTCTCAGCCCTAAACGCGTGGTGGCTTTGAATACCCTCGTTTCTGTGTTTAGTTTTTCAGTTAATTTTTTGGTCCCTGGCTGTGTGCCAGGCGCTGTTCTGTTCCCTAAGCATATTCATGGTTAGTATCATGTTTCCTAACATGATTTCTACCTTTTAATTTAATTGTTGCTTAAATTTCCTTAGGTATAACTGGCCAGAGGAGCATAAAACTTGGTGGTTCATTCACCAAAAGCCAAGATTTTGATTTGAGTTTCAGTTTAAATCTTTTCCTACAAATGAACAGTCTCCCAGCTTTAGACACGGGAGGAGTATGGGGGAATGTCTCCGAGTGTCCTCTGTTTTATTACTGGCTTTCTCTTCAGGAAAAATATGGGTACTAGTAAAACGCTTGAGAGGATTAGAAATATTTTCTCTGTGTATACACATGTAAGTATATGTACACATACAGGGACGTATACATCTGATATTGAGCTAAGTAATGAAACAGTTTGTGCTTTGATTAAGTTTAGTGCTGTGATTACTCTATTTAGCATTAGAATCAAATATGAAACAAGAATCCTAGAATGTTAACGGAATATTTACTTTTGCCTTTTTTAAAAGAGCAAGCAAAAAAGTATCTAGGATTTACTGAGCACTGCCGTGTCTCAGCCTGGGCTCAGGTGCTTTGCATCTGTCACTCCTTGTCTGTAGGAATTGCTATCCCCAGTTTGGGGGTGAGGGCTCTGAGGCACAGCTCTGCTGGGGAGCTTGCCTACGGTTCCACAGTTGCGAGTGACCCACCCTGGATTCAAGCCCGAGTGGTCTGGCCCCAGAATGGTTTCTGAGCCACGGAACTAGCGCTTCGTTTCTCCCTGGTTTGATGAAGTCTCTCTTTTTTTAAAGACTCCTTGAGAATTCATGCTAACAGAGTCAGAGAAGTCTGTTTTATGTTACGTGTGGATGTTGTCGGAGTCTCTCTTTTTTTTTTTTTTAATGAGGGACAATCAATACCTGCAGGTTGTTACTACATTACAAAGAAAACCCCTTTTCCCTTTCCTGTGTTTCAGCGTGACTGTCCTAGCTACTGCAGCACGTGCCTTGAGGTGATGCGGAGGTTTTTGTTACTCTATGCCACGCAGCATGGGCAGGCCAAGGCCATAGCCGAGGAAATACGGGAGAAGGCAGTCGCACGTGGCTTTTCTGCAGATCTTCACTGTATGAGTGAAACGGATAAGGTAAGAGGTGTCAAACGCTCAGAAACCGTTGTAGGATTCCCGCCAGCTTTTCTTTTTTTACCTATGAGCGTACATTGGGATTAGACCGAACAGTCTCAAAAACTGAAACACGTAACTACTCAACCACGTGGAAGGGGCGGTCTTTGCCTTGTTCGTATCCCCATTTGGATCACCACAGAGTCCTTGCCATTCGTGCGAGAGTTCCTCCAAGCGAAGGAGCACTCCGTTCTCTTGCGAAACAGAGTTTAAAGCAGAGGCGTGGCGTTCCGGAGAAGACTCGGCTTGCTTAGGTCAGGGCTACGTGCTTATACAGACGGTCTCTGCAGAAATCCCTGCCTTAGGATGCGAAAGATCGCGACAGGCCTATGTGCTTCTTGCAGTCGGTCTGATAGAGACCTCCGGAGTACACTGTTGTATACAATGCAGGCCATAGTCACTAGCGAGGGCTGTCATACAAGCGCAGGATGTTGTGCCAGCCACTCGGCACTGGGATTCAGTTCAGTGCTACTGAGCTCTCATTCAGGTTCACCACTTAGTTCACTAAAGTAGACTGTGAGCAGCACAGGTGAATGATAAACTCAGCTCATAGGAGGAGAACCACCCAGTTCCTTCATGCAGCGCAGACTCCCGAAGTAGTCACCCACCCAGCAGGGAGCACCCCGGAGGACCCGGCCGATCGGCTGCTCCGTGATTCTGCAGTAACTTCCAAGTAAACTTACATTGCGGGTGCCACATGATGGAATACGGTCTGAGTCTGTTACTACAAACCAAAGCTAGGTCCTCATATAATCACCCTGATTTGGCCCCTTGGGTCCCCTCACCACCTGGGTCAGCAGCTGCTTGAATGTTAGGTGAGCAGTTAACGCTTCAGTACCATGTCAGTCACGTCGTTTGCTCTCCCCAGGCTGAATGGTTTCTCCAGTAGTTGCTCCTCCGAGTTAAACGGATGGCTCGCGCTTCCTAGAACTCAAAGTCTTTTTCAAGGTGAAGTTATGTTGACGGACCGCATAGTTTAATGCACAACCAGCATAGTGCCCTGTAACCTTTGAATTCTCTGGTAAAAAGTTAGCTCAAATCTTTATCTGTTATATCAGCTTGAAAAATAAAGTGAATTCCTTTGAGCCAAATTCAGTGATATTTGTGAGCAGTAGAGCTCGTGGACTCTAATAGACAGTGAAATGTTCTATTTGAAATATTTGAAATTAGCTGCAATTAGAATAAAGGAGCTCGATTTGTAAGACTTGGGAACACTGATGATCTCAGTTTACAGCGATGACGTTCTCAGCGCTACAACCCAAGAGAGCGATAGCCAAGCTCCCTGACAGCCGAGGGCAGCACTTGACATCCCCAGCGTGACAGTTCGTGTGCCCCTCTCTGCCCTTGTGCCATACACAGAACTGATGACTGCTTCAGGTGACAGGAGCCTAAGTTTAGTGCCTTAAGCCAACACGACACGTTCTGTTTTTCAGTACGATCTGAAAACCGAAACAGCGCCCCTCGTGGTGGTGGTTTCGACCACGGGCACCGGAGACCCGCCCGACACAGCCCGCAGGTTCGTGAAGGCGATAAACGACAAGACGCTGCCGGTGGATTTCTTTGCTCACCTGCGGTACGGTTTATTAGGTATGCACCGTATATTTTAGTTCTTGCTACGTTCTGTTATTACCGGCTGTAATTCTGTTATCTGAATGTATCTTTCAAAACGGTAATATATGATTGTATAGGTTTTGTCCTTTTTGGTATTTTATTTAAATACGTATGTGATATTTAAATTATGTGATGTCCTTTGTCGTATGAATGCTTCCCCGGTCTTCACCTCAGCAGCCCCTGGCAGAGCCCCCGAGCAGCATTCATAAGCAGGGTGCACGTCACGTTCAGCTGTGAAACATTCCCAGAGTATTGGTGCCAGGCCTCCCCCCATACCTGCTAAAACAGTTCTTGAAGGAGCACCCCTGCCTGCTGCTTTATTGTTTTGGATTTTTAAAAAAGCGCCCAGGGGATCTGACATCTTCCCTGAGATCTGCTCCCCTCGACAGTGGTTTTCGCTCCTGGCCTCATGTTGGGATTGGCTGGAGCCACTTTCATGGCACTCTGCCCTCCCCGGGCCCACCCCCAGTGACTGTTCTGAGGTCGGGCCCCAGTATCAATGGTTTCTAAAGCTCCAGTTTAGGGAACACTGGCCTAGGCCCCCGCGAGGTACAGACTAAAGCATTAAGGTTAGGATCAGAGGGACCAGCTCAGCCGGGTATGACACCAGACGGAATTCAGGGCCCATCTTCCTGGCTCGTGATCTCTGTTGTTCATCTTTGAGAGTCATTTTGCAGGGAGGGCATCCAGCAAGGATGGGTTGTGCAGATAAGGGACTGATCAGAAATTTGAGATTGTGACCCTGGCCAAGGTCTGTTATGTGTAACATATTCCAGAGAATATTTTGGAGTACCCATTTTTTTTAATTTAAATTTTTCTAATTTTTAAGAGTTAGCATGTGCATGTCTCTTTAAAATTTCTCAAATTATTGAAAAGCAAAGACTGAAGCCCATCCAGCCATTCTAGTGCATTTATGCCCATAAATGGACCCACCAGTTGTTCACCGTATTCTTGTTGGAAAAGTACATGGAGGTGATTAAAAAACTAAGATGTTTAAGCTTTTAATTAAAAATTTTTAACCAAGTATGAAAATGTTAGTCTATTTTCTTACCAAAAAACAGAGGCAATTCTTAATTTATTTAACACAGAAGCAGCAGGTGGTGGTTTATGTTGTAGGTATACCTCTACACTCTAGGATAGGGGACAGTAAACCCTATAAAGTAGAGATCGCCAACCCCTGGACTGCGGACCGGTACCGGTCCCTGGCCTGTTAGAAACCGGGCCGCACAGCAGAAGGGGAGCAGCAGGTGACCAGGTGAAGCTGCATCTGTGTCTGCAGCCGCTCCCCAGCGCCAGCATCACCGCCTCAGCTCCGCCTCAGATCCTCAGGCATTAGATTCTCATAGGAGCACCGGGCCCTGGTGCCAAAAAAGTTGGAGACCGCTGCTGTAAAGAACCAGGTAGGAAGTGTTCTAGGCTTTGAGGCCAGGCGGTTTCTGTAACAGCTACTCAGCTCTGCTGTGGTAGCTTAAAAGCTGCCATAACAAAGTGAGCAAGTGGATTTGGCTTTGTTCCAATAAAACTATTTACGAAGAAAGACAGTAGGCATGTTTGGCCCACAGACTATAGTTTGCAGGCCCCTGCACTAGTTCAGAAAAGTCTTTAAATACAGATTTGTTTCTTTTAAACCCATCTAAACCTTCTTTTAAGATTTCCACATTGTTACACAGAGTCATGGAAACAAAAATGGGAAATATATTTCTGTTAACTGATCAAAAAGTATTTGTTTTGTTTCAATATGTCTGGTATTTTTACATTGTAAAATAAAAGAAAATTATGTTTACTATTACTCAAGGAAAAAATAAGAAAACGTGCAGCTGTACGTTATTTCCTGTTCATCAACAAGAGCACGAATGGCATGTTTTTAGAGATTTATCTGTCTATTCGTTGTTTAAACGTAAAGCACACTGTGCACTGACAGCCTGTCTGGGCTCTAGGTCTGGGGGACTCAGAGTACACCTACTTCTGTAATGGGGGGAAGGTGATCGACAGACGGCTCCAGGAGCTTGGTGCCCGGCGTTTCTATGACACTGGACATGCGGATGACTGCGTGGGGTAAGAGCCTTGCACTTGTCTCTGTCACGTCCAGCGAACCCTGTCAGTACGTCATGCAAGTCAGCGAATTTGTGAAAGGTATTGACTTTGGATCGAGCCTGAAACTTTTCCCTGGAAAGTCGTATTTTGGTTTTGTTAGCGTGTTTAGCTCTAGGACCTAAGACGATCAGCCAGAGCTTGATTTACGTGTTTTGCTGAATTGTTTTTAAAAGTGTAACTGTCTCAACGCGTGTAGGTGTTTGTGAAGGTGAATGTTGACTTTAGGAACTCTGATAACGCATGCGTGCACCTCCCTCGGCTGTGCACAGCGGAGTGACTGGACAGGGTCCTATTGTGGGGAGGGGCCCGGCGTGCCACACACCACTGACAGAGAACGCAGACGAGGGCCCTTCATGGTGCGCTGCGTTCGTTGGCTCCTACATCTTAGTGGCCCTTTGTTAGCCTGCCCACCAGAAATGCAAATTTTATTTTTATTACTGCTATTCTTTCTTGTTTTTACGATACAGTATTTCACGCGATGTGCCACCTTTCAAATCCTCTTCATGCGTTTATGCAAAGGTGTTACAGATGTTGTCCTACAACTCACTGTCATTTAGTCTTTAGCTCTTTCAGCCAGATAACAGCACACCCACTTGGTTTTTTCTACCAGGAGCCTTAAATAAATTCTCACTAGGTCTGTGTTCATGAATAACGACAGTCAGCAAACGTCTAGCTTTTCTGCACGTCACCATTTGCGCGCGTGTGTTGGAGACCCTTCTCGTCCATTAACTCCCCTTCGTGGCCACGTCGTCCGTCATTTTCTGCAGCTGTGGTGCTGGGGCTCTTTTTGATGTCCCCAGGACACATGCTCTTGATGGTGACAAAGCTCTGCCACATTTCTTTACATGTTGCCAATTTTGTCCCTTTTTATTGGGCGTTTTTCTTTTTTTTTCCAGAACCTATTGGCATTAAATGTTTATTGTCTTTTGTGAGCTATGTAACTGCTGACTCCTTATATAATCCATTAGGTCTGTCACTCCATCCATGTTTTACTTCAAGAGCTTTCCCTTTCCCTCTACGTTTGTTGGATTGGATGTTAAAATTTTTTAACATTTATTTCAGCAGCCTGCATCTCTTAAATTTTCAACCTAACTACCTTACTTGAATTTTCCCTTTTCTAAAATGGAAGATATTTTTAAGAAGACATGGCACATTTTTAACGTGCCACCACACTGAGGGGATATGGCGGAGCACACGTGTCCGGTTCCGGGGTCAGGTGCACTAACGTGGCCGTCCCCTGGGGCCAAGGCCGCCGTCCCATAAGTGCGCGGTGATCGGGCTCGCTCCGATTGAGTTTTGTCTTCAGCTCTGAGTTGTGGGAACGGTTTTTCAATGTAGCTTTCATTATTGAACCCATAATTTTATGTGCCCACTTTTCCAAAGTCTCCCAAGGGACAGATGTACTATAACCAGATTTCGAGCTGCACACTGCGCGAGCACCTAATGCATGCAGTGAAGCGTTAGCCAGAGTCATGACACAGGTCTGAAGCGCCTCCTTTCGAGAGCCGCTTCACCTCATGAAGTGGAATTTAATTGGTACCTCCTTTGAGTTGTGATTCAAAATGACATGTCATTCCACGGGCCTGACGTGATCTTTCCTGTCCGTTGGCTCTACTTGGAATGTCTCTATCCAGGGGCCATGGGGGCTTCCCGTGGGCCGACACAGTTCACACGGACCGAGGCCAGCTTCGGTCAGCCTCCCTGGGAATTTTCCACAAACGTTGTTCAGAACCGATAGAAGGTTTGAACTGTTTACTTAGTCAAAAGAGTTAGCATTAATTCGGAGTGGTTTCTTGGTGATGTTTTAATATGTAGGAAAATAGATGTATTCGATTGGTGTAATTATCATTTGTGATATTATAGTAGACCTGGATTTGGGATAAATTTCGTTAGCCTCATCAGAATTTAGTACGCTTATTTAAAATTACAGCTTTTTAAAATATAGGAAAAATCAAATTAGGAAAAATCCAATTTCTGTTACCTAATACTAAAACATCTTCCTTTCTCTTCATTAACTTGTGTACTTGCTCATGTTTTCACAGCTCAATGCTAATGAGCTCGGAATAAAGTTCTGCTTTTTAACTCAGTCGTTCACAAGTAGTTTTTGTATTGTGAATAGTCTTCATATTTAGTGTTTTTGACAGTTGCACAGCATTCTGCCAAGTGGACAGACACTGCCTCACCCATCGTTATATATGTAAGTGGGGAACTGAGGCGTTTGTTTCTTTTTTCCTTTTTTATTTCAACAATGCAGTTTAGAACTTGTGGTCGAGCCGTGGATTGACGGGCTCTGGGCTGCCCTCGCGAAGCTTTTCGTGTCAAGTAGCGAAGGAGAGATGAGTGGAGCTCTCACGGCGGCACCTGGAGCCTCCGGGACGACAGACGCAGCGAAACCGGAATTAATCCACGTCGAATCACAAGTCGAACTTCTCCGATTGGATGATCCAGGAGGAAAGGATTCTGAGGTTTCGGAACAAAATGGAGCGAGCAGAGGTCAATCGAGTGCTTTGACTGCAGACTTCGAGCCCTCGCTTACCCGGTCCGTGCCCCCGCTTTCCCAGGCCTCTCTGAATATTCCCGCTTTGCCACCGGACTATTTACAGGTGCATCTGCAGGAGCCTGTTGGCCAGGTAAGCAGCCTCACTTCATGCTCATGCTGTGTGTCGCCTTACTGTGGGCATGGTTTTTTGTTTTTTAATGATATAGCAACAGAGGTCAACAATCTATGGTCCGCTGGCCAGATGTGTTCCACCACCTGTTTTGTAAATAAAGCTTTATCGGAACACGGCCACGCTCGTCCATTCACACGTCTGGCTGCTTCACAGGCCAGTGGAGAGCTGAGTCGTGACCACGGCCGGCCCCCCGTGTTGGAGAAGGGCTCGCATCATTGCCTTCCTTCTGTCTTCGACGCAGTCCCTGGGAAGAGCCCCGTTTCTCCTCTGCTTCAGAGGATTAACGACCTGGTTGCTCGTTTCAGGGGTGAGTCAGTTGAGGGCACGTTTTTAGGCGGTCAGCACGTTAGCAGCAGCTGGGGCACCGCAGCTGGGCTACATTGCAATTGCTGGTGGCTCAGTCCCGTCCCCAGGGCCCGTCTGGGGAATCAGATAGGGGTGCCCTGGAACCGCTCCCCGTGTCCTGTAGAGGTTTCAGGGTAGCACTGCTGTCTGCTGTTCCTCACCGGAGCCTGTGTTGTTCATTTTTCAGCTTGATGAGGAGAGGCCTCTGGTAAATTCCGCTTGGCCCTCCCCAGTGCGATAGCCCTTATCCCGTGAATCCAGCGTGGGGTCGCGCCAGCTGCCGGGTGACCACAGGACTGACTTGCTGCCTGGCCCCGTAGGCCTCACTTTGACGACACGGGGGAACCGCATCGACTGGCCCCTCTTCTGTCAGTCCCTGACGTATCCGGGTGTCCCCCCGCCCAGTGCACGTTAGGCCTTGGTAGGAGGACTGCGGGTACCTCTCCTCTCCTGGCGACCCCTGGCCTTGGCGCTGTGTGGCTGGTGCTGCGGGGAGCTGGCCATGCGGTGGGCTTCGGCTCCGTGCGGCTTTTCCTGTCCCGAGCCGCTTCCCCGCACCTTTCAGTTCCACCCCCAGTGCCGGCCAGGGCCCTGCTGGCCTCCCCACCCACTTGGCGCAGGCTCTCACTCGCTCCTCCCTCTCGGAGGCGTGCTGTCAGCATGTCCATTGTCACCTCCAGAGGCTCTTGCCAGGGTGCTACAGCCTGTGTCGTAGGAGCGTGTCCCAGAGAGAAAAACCCTTTATCCAAGTTTATGTTCTGCCCTCCATCAGCGCCTGCCTCATGCGTACTTGGTTGCTACATATGTCCCTGTCCTGCAGTGTCTTCAGGACGTTGTCCCTTGCCTACCTTAGCTGGCCCAGCACATCCGCAGCCTTAACTAGTCACTGGCCCAGCAGCCAGGAGGGGCTGGGTGCAGGTGTGGGGCGTGGCAGTCCCTGCATTGTCTCAGTGCACAGAGGGGACCCTTGCTCTTGATGGGGAGGCGTGGCCACTTCTGCAGGCTCAGAAGATTCACGGGCATGGGGTTCCACATCTCAGCCCCAGGGTCCCGCCTCAGCTGTCATGAGCCCCCTCCTTCCCTGTCAGTCGGACCGTAGCTCTCTCTGCTTTCCGGCTGCAGGAGGTGAGGCCTCCCTGCAAACTCACGAGGATGCTCTTGGCTTTCACACTTTTTGTGCATTACTCTCAGCTTTTTGCTTTTTTCACCCAAAGTGTCAGTGAAGCTCTCCAGTTCCAGGGCGCTCTGGAGCCGCATTGGCCCTTCACAGTTGTCCCGAGTCGGGGCTAAGGGGCTGGGCCTCTGCAGTCATCGATCAGTCATCGGACGTGGGCTGCCTCTGGAAGGAGGTGTGACCAGGCAGGCACAGCAACTCAGCTGTCTGAGCTAGCTGCGGGCCGAGAGGCGTGTCCCAGTGCCGCCCATGTCGAAATCTAGGTGCTCACCCCAGACCCCCTTCCCCACCCCAGGCCGTCGCCCCAGTTTTCCCGTACAGCCACGCAGCCCACAGTAACTGACTAGTGTTTCTTTAAGTATAAGTTTTAATTTTTAGTAGCACTTAAGAACGTCAAGTTGGGAAAGGCATGGGAGTAGTTAGTACAAAATCGAGTTTCTCGGCAGTTTCCCAGGACCTGTGCTGTCTAATATAGATGCCAGCAGCACATGTGGCCGATGAATTTTGAATGAGTGAAAATTAAATAAAATTAAGAATTCAGTTCTTTAATCAGACAGGTGCTCATTCGGCACCCGTGACTAGTGGCTGCTGCATTGCCCAGTGTAGGTGTGGAACATTCCCGTCATCAAGAGAGCTCTGTGGAGTAGCACTGCCCACTAATCCGAGGGTTCTTGTGACCATCCGTACTGACACCTTCCCCCCTTAAACGCCTGTCCTTTCCGTAAGGATCTCCTTCTTGAGACACTCATGCATTCTGTCGCCTTCTCTGTAGCTTATTCGCAAGGCTGTTAGACCTTAACGTGAAAATACCAGTATCCGATGTCTTCAATATATTTCAGAAATTCCCATGTCTAATAGACAAGGAGTCTGAAACATGGATGAGCTTCTCTTCCAAAAGATTCAGAAGTTGTAGCCACTTACCTTTGGAAGGAATATTTAAATAGCCGGAGTGTTTCCTAAAATCTTACAGATCTCACCGAGTCACTCAGTGAAGCCCTGCTAAGTGTAATCGAAAATCGCAGTTAGTAATATTTTATCATGTTTGTTTCTTGAGGAGGAATGCCAAGCATCCGTGCCTTCAGTGGATCCAATTTTTCAAGTTCCCATTTCAAAGGCTGTTCAGCTGACTACGAACGATGCCATAAAAACCACTTTTCTGGTGGAATTGGACATTTCAGTAAGTTACAGAATTTATTTCCCGGCACAGCTGTGCTGTCACGAGGTGCAGAGAGGCTTGCGTGGCCTTCTAGTCCGTACACTCAGGAAGAGCGATTCTCTGGCAGGACATCTGGCCTTCCGTTCTCGACCCATCCTTCCTCCTCAGCTCACACCTGTTTTCTGTTCACTTGCGGGGAGCTAACATGAGGAGCGACTCTGGTGGGGATTCAGGGTTGCTGCCTCTCTCATTCAGCCACGAAAGAACCGTGGCATCGGAACAGCGTCAGCCAGATGCTTGGAAATGGGGCTCAGACTGGACGGTCTCAGAAGAGCTCATTTCTCAGCGCACCAGTACGCATTCCTTTGAGGACCTGGAAGAAATCGTGGACCGTCTTTCCCGAGAAATGATTGTCAACACCTGGCACACAGTCTTGGGGCACTGTGTACCCCTCTCTGAACTCCATCCACGAGCCCCTCCCGGGCCCTCTCAGATCCATTGACCTCAGGTTAAGAAACTGATTGATAACCCTGAAACCTCAGTGGCTGAGGGCCCAGGGTCATGTAGCTCAGTTTCATTTTGATGAGAGTTCTAAGAAGTTCAGTGGGTGGCGATTTGAGAAAAGTTGAGGCACATCAACGCTATATAGATGTACTTGAATTTTCTACTAAAAAAAGAAATACGATAGGCTTCCACACTAGATGGTTTTGCTTATATACTATTGAGTAGTTTCATGTTTCTTTTGAACATTTTGATAATCCATAGTGTTTAATATTCTGTATACACCAAAACATTTTATTTTTCATTCTGCAGTTGTACCTTCCTGTCATAATGAGGCAAGGGCTGGCCCATTGGTGGTTCAGTCTGCCTCGCTCACAGGCTGGGCATGTGAGCGTGTGCGGTCAGATGCCCCCAGCACCGTGGTCTGCATTCCGCTCCTGTCTGAATGGACGTGCTGTGGGAAGGGGCTCCTTCTCTAGCCCCTGTCTGTGTACAACCAACACCGAGCCAGATGGCATCGCGATCTGCTCATTCAGGAAAGGACAGGGCCCTCTCCTACTACCCCTCTTCATCCCCAAAAGGAAGGACAGACAAGGAAATCAGAAACCACTGCAGACAGGCTTGAGCGGTTTCTTACGTGTGTAATGGCGTGTGTGTGTTTTGCTCAGAGCGATGTTTACACGGATCACTAAAGCACAACCGATGGGTCCCTGATTCTCTAGAAAATGAGGAAGGGCTTCATGTCCATTCTGTAGATTCAGTGACAAAGCAAAACATCAGTAACTATGGAAGTTCATTTTTAAAACCACTCCTAGTTAAAGTACATTCGTTCAGTTAGTTGGGCTTGTTAGCTTTTTGCAATTAGAACAATTTTGTTTCTAATCCATCTGTTTAAATGGTCATATAATAAAAACTGTGATTTTATTACTCATAACTAATACTTTAATTCATGTGGGATTTTCTTTCTTGTTGGTTCTTCTCTAGAAAACAGATTTTTCCTATCAGCCTGGAGATGCCTTCAACATCATCTGTCCCAACAGTGACTCTGAGGTACAGAGTCTGCTCCAAAGACTGCAGCTCACGGACCAAAGGGAGCACCATGTCCTCTTGAAGATTAAAGCGGACACCAAGAAGAGAGGTATGGCCCTGAGCTCCTACTTCTGCTGTGTCCTGGGGCTAGCAGATCAGAGGTGACATGTGCCAGTGTGTCCTCTCCGCGGTCTCCCCTTCGGCTCCCAAGGGTCGGCCACACGCGTCGGCCCGGAGCAGGCAGTGACAGGCGTTGCTGGTTTTTTAACCGTAGGGTCAGTTACACGAGCGGGGTGAGGTGGTGATGGGTTTTGTGGGACACCTCCCACATTAAAAGGGTGTGTGGCCATCCTCTTGGAGGAGCAGGTCGGTGACTTGGGCTGATTTTGTTTGCTTTTGCAGTTAGCATTATTTTGTTTCTAAGTTCATGTTTTAAATGTCATACAATAAAAACGTCTTTATTGTTTTATTTTTAAAAAGTTTTTTTCCTATTATGTTTAGTATAGCATATTATCGCTTGTTTAGTATAAATATTTGCTTTTTCTATAATTAAAGGAAGTTATTTCTTCAGTTTTTTGCTTAGAACCTTGAATTCGAGTTCAGTTCTTAAGTTCTTTGTGAGAATCATGCACAGTGTTAAGGGACCCCTGCCATTTTGGCTTTTTGGCTTTTTGGTTTGGAATGATTTCCCATTTTTTTTTGTTGGGTGTACCTAGATTTGGTTGGTATGGCCCATATAACATGCTGTTAAATTTATAATTCTATTTTTTGTGTGTAAGGTGGGTTTTTCTGCTGTATTTATTTTAGGGACTTTTTTTTGACTGAATAAACATTGCCACAAATCATATTGCAATTTGGTAGCACCATAATGTAAAGTATTACTGTTACTTGTGTTTTTAGGAGTACAAAACAGTTCATTCTTTATTTTCTCTGTCACGAATGGTTTCCTGTCTACCTGAAAAGGAGCAGCCTTGCCTCAGCACATACCTGAGAAATGTTCTCTCCAATTCATTCTTACCTGGTGCCTTGAAATACGAGCAATTCCTAAAAAGGTACTTTTCTTTCTTTGGGTGACTTTACAAATATGCTTAGCTCTGTGTTGGACTTGTTAAATAGATCTGATATTCGCCTTTGAAGTTTAGAAAATATGGCCTTCACAGCACGTTTTTGAAAATGGTTCCCGAGAGCGTGCAGTAAATTTATAATTGTCATAGACACGCATTTTTATGTTGTGTTTATACTGCAATTTTATGTTTTCTGTTGAAATGAGATTTCTTCAGTAGCGCGTTTTCATAGTCTTTTACTAGATGTTAACTGGACGTGGCACGTTAATCAGTGATGAGAGTGACCCTAAACGACCCTGTGCTTTCCAGCTGCACATGACACTTCCTAGTGGATGACAGGAAACAGGAGCGTGTAGGCTTCCCCTCCTACTTGCCACCTGTTTCATGTTGTTAGGCTCCTTTTGTGTAAAACTACATGATTATTAAGTCAGAATTCTTCAGGAAACATTGACACGTTTTGGTAGGCCATATTGGTGTTTAGATGAACTTGGAATAGAGTAATCCACCAGATGTCAGTGTTATGCCAGGAGCAGTATTAAAAAAGACAGCTTGTAACTGATTTCTTCTAACCATGTCCCTCAAATGAATATTAATGGGTAAAACTTTGCAACCTGTGCTTTGCCAAACTGGTATAGCCAGTGAGCATAAATAGTGCTATAATTAGGCCAACCTCTGTGATGCAGTTTTTATTCTGTTTTATTATGTTGAATTTATCACTTTTGTGAAGCAAACTTTAGAGAGAGGCTCAGTCCTAGACAGAGTACGAACAAATTTGGAATTGACTTTGATGAGAATTCTTGATTAAACTCAATAAATTCACAATTTTAGTTCATTTCTACCATTTTTTAAAATTTCATAAAATATAGATGTTAAAATATTTTTTTCTTACTACAGAATAGGGTCATTGTAAAAATTCCAGACACAAAAATAACTGAAGAAGTGAAAGCTCTTTATAATCAAACCCTCAGAGTTAATGCTGAAATTTTGTTTTGATTGGGGGGGAAAAAAAAAAAAAAGATTCTGTAGAAAGTGTCCTGTTCTGCAATGTGCCTTTTTTACTTAAAATTAGTAGTTTGTATACCCCAATGTGGAAATCCGTTAGAGATATTTTTAAGATACTATGAGTGCACTATAATTAAATTATTGATTTAATTATTGCCAGTTGTTTCCAGTGTTTCATTATTAAAAAACTGAGGTGAACATTCTTGCACTAAATTCATTTTTGTACACCTGTTTGAAGTATTTTTTAAACAAATTTCTTGGAGCAGAATTGTTACTTTAAAAATACTTGCATATTAAAAGTAATGCCTGTCATCAGTTTTTTCTCTACAAACAGTACAGTATTTCCTATTTTAGTACCATAAAGTTTCTATAATTCCGAAGTGAAAAAAATGAAGGATTTACAATTGCCACTGTTTCACTATAACTTAGGAAATTTTATTGACCTGAGAAATTGATGCAGTGTTATTGGGAAACTTTTCTTAGCAGAAACCCGTGTAGTGTGGATGTTTAGTCATCCCGCTGCCCTTCCCGAGTGCTTGCCCTGTGTCCGGCACTGTGTCCCGCACCTTGAGCAAGCCATGTTGAGCAGGGTTCCCCCGCCCCTGGGCCGTGGACCAGTACTAGTCCGTGGCCTCTTAGGAACCGGCCGCACAGCAGGAGGTGAGCGGTGGGCCAATGAGCGAGGCTTCATCGGTATGTGCAGCTGCTCCCCAGCGCCAGCATCACCGCCTCAGCTCCGCCTCAGATCACCAGGCATTAGATTCTCGTAGGAGCACCGGTCTCTGGTGCCACAACGGCTGGGGACCGCTGCTGTAGAGTGTTCCTCTCCCAGTGGTTCAGGCAGGGGTCCTTCGCTAAGCCGGTGGGACCCGTGACCCCACCAGAGCAGTGCTGTCGTCTGCCCTGCAGAGGGGGCCGGGACATGGCGTCTGAGCCGGGGAACGGAGGGTGGCGGTACCCACGAGCATTCGCATAGCAGGAGGCAAATAACGTGCTGAAGCTGCGAGGGTCAGAGAATGGATGAGCTCGGAATTGCAGCGAGGCCGGAACTGGTAGGAACCGGTTGAGTCTTTCGTCCAAGAGTTTGGCCTTGGTTCAGCCTTTGAGACTTGGGGTTCGGGGCGGAGTTTCGCTCTGTTTGGTCATGTTCTCCTTTTTCTACAATGGCTCTGAGGTGACAGGGAGTCCGCGTCCAGGAGGGTTCTTCCTGCTCTGCCCTCCTGCGACCATCTCGTCAGCCTTCTGTCACATGTCCACAGCTCCCTGCACCCATGTCGCACTGCACGTGGTCCCCAAGAGCCAGGCCTCCATGTGACCATGCCATTTGTTAGCCACTCTTCAGTCCCCTCGTTTCCCGTGGCCACCTGCCCCTCAGCCTTGCGTCCTGGGGGGCCCTGCCACCCCGCGTGGGCCCGGCAGGGTCGCTAGCCGGTCACACACTAGTCACCCCTGGACTTGTGTGGCTCTCACTGTGACACCGACAGGCCAGGTAGGTGTCACCGTGTCCCCAGTGTCTCAACCACGCAGCGCCTGTCCCATCCAGCAGTTGTCACATGAATGGTGACGTCCAGGTTGTAATCGGCCATGACAGGAACAGCGCTGTGTCCTGAGGTAAGAGGCTGAGCTGTGGGACATCGTGGTCATTCTTACTCAGGGACCCCTGACATGGCTTTCGAGCTGAGACTGGTGACTGAGGAGGTCGGCGTGGGATGTAGGGGAGGCGACATAAACAGAACATAAGAGCGGGTTTCCCTGACGGGCCGACGGTGAAGCCGGGGCAGAGGGGCCGCTCTCTTCCCAAGCGCCCTGAGCGGCGCTCACGTTCTCGCGGCTCATCGGGCATCTCCCCGGGGATCCAACCAGCACTCCAGCGGCCAATCGAGTCGCGTCCCTTGCTTTGGCCACAGGCGCTGTTGCGGGCCCTGGCGGACTGCGCCGGCGACGCGGCGGAGAGGCGGAGGCTGCAGGAGCTGAGCAGCAGCCAGGGGGCTGCCGACTACACCCGCTTCGTGAGGGGCGCCCGAGCCAGCCTGCTGGACCTCCTGCTGGCCTTCCCGTCCTGCCAGCCGCCGCTCGGCCTCCTGCTCGGTGAGTGGCGCCTGCGCCTGGGCGGGCAGGAGGGGGTCGCACGGGTGCCGCCCTTTGAACTCTGCGCAGCACTCGGGGCGTCTGACTGGGCTGCGATCGCAGGCAGCGTCCCCGGTCCGTCTTCAGCCGCCTGGACGTCCGAACTGCCTTCTCCGGTCAGAAGGGGCCGGGCCCCTCTCCCACGGCCCGCGTGTCCCTGTTCCCTTCTGCCATCGTCGCTGCCATTTTCTCTCGACATAGCCAGTCGTGGTTCTTTTTTGGCTCAGCATTCAGGCTTTTTCTTATTTTACTATTTTTTTCAGAAAGCATTTAGTCAAATCTTATCTAAAAATGGCCTTTCTGATGAAAAAAATGAATTTTTTCGAAGATGGTGAACATCTGGTTTAATACACGGAGATTGGTGAACTGTGTATGTGCAGATGTCACCATCTGGGCCAGTTCAGGTTTAGGCTTCAGGAGCGACAGGGAGCACATCATGTTGTGCCCATACAGGGGACGGTCCTCAGGGTGCTGCAGGCGCGGCTGGGAGGACCCACCAAGGAATATTCAAGGCTCAGTCCATCCCGTTCCTGTGTCTGTCTCTTGGGTTCTCAGACTCCAGCAGAAGGGAGCGTGAAGTCCTGCCTGGGGGACCAAGTCCGGGGCAGTCCCAGGGAGGGATTGGAGACCTTGACCTGAGACAGTGACTACAGGGATTTTAAAGGATTTTAAACCTTTAAGGCAGGTGATTTTGTCACCGCCTCCCTGTTCTCCTGTAGTGATAAGCAGTAAAACACTTAAAGTTTGTGTTGGTCTCAGGTGACAGGGAATGCGGATTGTCCTTTTTACTGTTTGGCCCGCAAGGTCCCTCTTGGTGCCCACACTGCTGGGCCCCGCTTCCTTCTTCTTTTACGTCGGGGCATTCTGTGCTCCCCCCGCTCCTCCGCAGGAGTGCAGGACAGTGTCACTGCGTGAGGCCGCTCTGCCTGCTCTCCTGTGCCCATGCGAACAGTCCCGCCTCCCACTGGGGCTCCTAGAGCCGACAAGGGCTTGGGGTGACACTCGGGACACGCAGCAAAGTCACATGAAGTCATGTGATGTGCTCATCACCGAAGAATATGTTTCAGTTCCTTCATGGATTTACTCATCTTTTTAAAACTTTATTAGTTACGTAGAAAAATTAATAAAGGCATTGACACATAAAATTTTAAATTTTCCAGTTTTTTAAGACAAATTAATAGATCTAAAACTTAGTATTAAGTTGAGCCATTTATGAAAACTTTTATGTTTATTAAAACAGCCATTTTAGAACGTTCTTTACATATTTTTGCTGAATAACTCACAGAAAGGACATTGAAAATTTTTGCTATTGCAAATATGACACCAAAAAGTTCCAGAGCTTGTTACCGAACAATCAGGTAGGAACCTCAACACCGATGCCTCGCCGTCTTCAAAAGAGCACCTCTGTGTCTTGAATCCGCTGAGTTCCTAGATAATTTGATTTTAAAATGTCCATTACTATACTGTTTTTTGGTTACTGTTGTATAACTAGAAGAAGGAAAAATGTTTCAAGCCTCGGTATTTCCCATAATTCTTAAAATAGTGCCCCCTAACTTTTTGGGGGTCTTAGTTTTTCAAATCTGAACAATCTCCCCAGAAAACTGTTAAGTGCATGTGCACACAGACGCACACACACGCATGCACACGCACACAGAAAATCAAATGGGTTCCTAGACCCTGAAGCCCACACGTGGACCCTATTCTTAGTAACCTTTGGTTTAAGAAACCAGCCTTTGGATGGAAATACTGATTTCAGATTAAGAAAATGCAGTATGTCTGTTTACTTTAGGAGTTGGAAAAATGTATTCAGTAATATTTTACTTAGACAGTGAATTCATGTGTGCTTCTGAGTATGGCTTAAAAAATATTTTGAATATTCTAAATAAAGCAGGATTTTTTTTCTCTCTTACATAATTTATTGTCAGGAGTGGTGAATTAATAATTGTTTCTTTTTTCTAGAACATCTTCCTAAGCTCCAGCCCAGACCATATTCATGCGCAAGGTAATGATTTTTATTAATATATAGCATCTTTCTCCCAAAATGTTACGAAATTCTGACTTCCAGATCCTTAGTAGCTACAAATCCATGCAGCGGAAACCTACCCAGTTCGTGGAGGACACTCAGCAGCCGGGACGGGGGAGAAGCGGGCCCGGCTCAGACCCCGTCCCCTGGGCGTCGTAGAGCGGGGGTCCTCAGCGGCCCCCGTGCTCACAAGCACGTGCCCGCCGGGGGCGGAGTCTCCGGCCCGGCCCCTGCTGCCCTGATGGCTGCGCCCAGCTCCTTCGCTGGGCGGCGGTGGGGATGGGGAAGAGAGGGACAGTTCGTGTAAATCTGACCTGGTCTTGAAGGCAAATGCGACATTAGAAACTTTCCTGGAAGATGCCACAAAATGGTTGGCCGAGTCGCTGCTTCCGCCCGCCACGTCGGCCCCGGCCCACGGCCCACAGGCAAGTGCGGGTCCGCATGGTCGCTTGTGCTCTTTGCCTGGGTCAGAGAAACATGACGCCTCGCCTGCCTCGGCCATGACTAAGTACTAACCACTCATTGTCCCTTACGAGTTACTCAAAGGAAAATTACTAACTACTGACCACTGGCCACTCATTGTTCGTTACTAGTTATTCAAAGGAAAAGGGAAACATGACTCTCACTCCATATTAAATGGTCCATGCATTCCGTAAATGTGTGAAGCTTTACACATTTTCATATTAAGAAAACCTTTTCTGTTAATGCCCTTGGCAGGTTGACAAGGGAGTATCAAGCGATACCGAAAACAGCCCTATTTTGTTTAGGCCATGCCTGTCTCCCAGAGAACTTCTAAGAAGGCATCCAGTTGAAGAAAGACCGGTTTTATGTCTTACGTCCTTCCGTTTGGGTGTGGGGTTTTCACCTGCTCTGGTCTCTTCCCTTTTCGTCAGTGTGTAGATTGTGAATTTGTGCTGCCGATAACAAGCTATTGGGGGGGGGGGGTTACTTTTGAAGCATGTGGGAGAAAAACATCGTCTGATTTTTCTGAGCAGATTGGGGGCACCCGCACCTTGACGTTTGGTATAGCACTGCGCAGAATCTCACTGGAGACTATGTGCGTAGGGAACGAGTTAAAGTTGTCCCTCCCACCTAAGGACGATCGAAATTAAAACAAAAGCCAGGCTCCCTTGTGAAGTCCTCTTTCTCCATAGAGCTGAAGAAGTGAGCAGCGTCACCTCATGCCTGTTCAGTCGCTGTGGATCACAGGGGTTGACAAGGTCACAGCCCTTTGGGGGATTACGACCTCCGGCGTGCGCTCCAGGGGGCTCAGGGGAAGCCTGCCACTGGAAGCTGCCCTTTAGCACGACGCCTTCCCAGTCTGCCGCCTGGGACAGATCCATAGAGCTGAAGAAGTGAGCAGCGTCACCTCATGACTGTTCAGTCGCTGTGGATCACAGTGCACGTGTCCACTTCTGTCCATCCGTCTGTCTCTGTACTCTTGGGTTCACTGTGTACCAACAAAATATTGAGAACCTGAGAAAATTCCTTTTTTGAAAAGGAGTATTATAGTGCTATGTAGAACTCATCAGATGCTTCAGAGTGTGTGTGTGTGTGTGTGTGTGTGTGTGCACACGCACGTGCACGTGTCCACTTCTGTCCATTCATCTCTGTACTCTTGGATTCATTGTGTACCAACAAAATATTGAGAACCTGAGAAAATTCCTTTTTTGAAAAGGAGTATTATAGTGCTATGTAGAACTCATGTCACTTCATGATCATGTGTAAAGCAGATTTCAAGGTTACAGGATCAAGTACGTCCTAAGGTGGCGCAGACACTGAGCGGGCGCCCTCGAGCTCCCTCCCTCGCGCCCTTTCCCCTCCTTCCCCTCCTCGACTTTCGTTGACCGTCCAGTGTTCAGACCCCAGAGATGCAGAAGGGAAGGGTGCAGCTTACAGCTGTCGGAATTTCATGGTGCCTAGTGGCGCCATATCTGTTTAGGAAGAGTAGGGTCGCTAACAGCAGCCCCCCGCGTGGGGTAGACGGCTCCCATTGGTTATGTCACCCAGGAGGCCACGTGCCACACTGGCAGGGGCCTGAACCCGCCGCCTGGGGCAGGATGACCTGCCCCTCGGGCTTGGGTCCCGGGTGAGGGAGACCCCCGGGAGCAGAGCCTGCCCGCAGCCATGAGGGAGCCCGAAGCAGGCGCCTCTGCGGCCAGCGGCCCGAGGTTTGCTGCAGCCCAGAGCGCATACTGTCATGGCTCCTCGCGGCCCCCAGGACCCGGAGCGCTCTCGTTAGCAGGCCCCTGCCATACTGTCACGTCCTGTCTTGCTTTGCTTCACGGGACTTTCACTGCCCGCCGTTCTAGAGATGTGTTTGTCGATGGCTTTGAGCCTCTCTCGCTCCCTGGAGCTTGGTGGGCCATCAGTAGTCATTAAATGGAGGGATCGAGAGAATGAGGCTAATGTGGTATCGACCAGTCTCATTCCAAAAGGGGGCGGTCATTGGATACAGCTCGGCCAGCTCTTCGCTTGAAAAGTAAGGTGTTCATCCGTTGATGAACTTCATGTGATTTTACTTGAATTAAAGGTTGAAATACGTGAGTCCCACCAGCAGGAGCGTAGAGCGGGTTCTGATTCTTAACTTTAGCGTCACACGGTGTAGCTGACGCAGATGGCAAAGTGGGACAGGAAGACAGGCTATTTACACATTGATTCCTTGTAAGTATCCCTTGCACATGAGAAATCTTGAAATTTTAGCAAGAAGATGTATCACTTACTCTCCTGGTTTAGCTCGAGGACGGATAGCGTGGGGCCTGGAATGACAGACGGGGCACCACGGCCCAGCAGCTTCGGAACAGGCGCTTCTCCTTCAGTCGCCTCATTTTCACCTAAGACTGTGCACCCTCCTCGTTGCCCCGTGTGTGCAAACGCGAAGACTCCCGGCTGCACGTTTCCCTGCGTTTCCTTGTCGATGTCTGGGCTGTGCGCTAGGAAGCAGATCTTACTCATGGGACTAGAAGAACAATTTGATTATTTCGAGTCCATGCCTGTCATTTTTAAAACACCATCGATTTGGGTGAAAGATAAAAATTTGCAAGACAGACTTGCTTGCTTTTCTGTGGTGACAGCTGAGTTCACGGTTTCCTGGTCGAACACTGTTTAGTGCTGTGTGAGTGATTCCATTTCGATTTCTTTAGCAGAGGCCACCTTGGGTCTGCGCTTTCGTCGAGGGTGTCTTTCACACTAACGACCATCGTTTTGATATTTCAGATATCCATCTCTCCTCGCGCAGCAAATTCTTTCCACTTACCGAGGGACCCGTCGGTCCCCGTGGTCATGGTGGGCCCAGGAGCCGGCATTGCGCCCTTCATCGGCTTCCTGCAGCACAGGTACGGGCTCAGGCTGGCCCGCGGGCAACGGGTCCCTCGTGGGCCCGGGCGGGGACACGGCACAGCTTTTCTGTGCCCCCTGTGGGTTCTGGGGCAGTGGACTTCGGTTGTCAAATTTTTATTTTAAAAAATGATCATCAAGTGCATGATAGCACACATATTTGTCACCACGGGAAACGTAAGTCCAGTGTCTTCCAGAGTTTGATTCATGCTGGAACCCGCCTTGTACTGTAGGGCTTCTCCCCAGCTGCACTGTAGTTGGTCGCATGTGTAGCTGGGGACAGATTTCAGGCACAGCCTTATGCTGTTGTGATGTCCAGGCTGCTCCATGTATCCCTTAAGTAGATAAAAATGGTGGGAACACATCCAGTTATATCAAAAGTTTCAAATATCAGAAATTTTTAACAGAATGACGCTAGCAGATACAACTGTGTATCAGAACAGAACTATTTGATATAAAGTAAATTTGTTTCTCTCCTCGTTTGAGAACAGCTCTTCCATGCTGTGCCCCAGATGGCAGCGCGGTAGCCTGTGCGCTCAGCCTTTCGTTGCTTTTCCAGTTTTTCCTCAGGAAAGCAGGAGCGATGGCAGACACGGCCACACGGCTGTGTCTCGGCGCACCTGTCATTTCGGCCTTTTCCAGCCCTGGACCACTTTTCCATGTTATTAACTGAGAATTAATTTTATTCATAAAACTGCCTTTCATATTTAATGTAGACATCAGTGTCGGCCTCACAGTGTGACACTGAATTGTCCTCGTTACAGGGATGTCGCGTGAGCTCACAGGTGTCTGCGGGGGCGTCCGGTGCGCCAGGAGCGGACCCTGCGCAGGGCAGAGGTGGCCGCTCCAGGCCTCTCCGGGCTCGCCGCTGGGACTTCTGGCCGGAGAGGGACTGGCTGTCCAGATGTCCCATGTTCACATGTCAGCATCCTTTTTTACTTAGAGAGAAACTCCAGGAACAGCACCCAGACGGACACTTCGGAGCGACGTGGCTGTTCTTCGGCTGCCGACATCGGGACCGGGATTACTTATTCAGGTACTGCCCGGTTCCGGTTCCGGTTCCGGTTCCGGGGGCGTCGGGCCCGGCCGTCGCCGTGCGGCG